TATGCCCACGCCCCACAGCTCCGCAATCTCAACGCGACCCGCCGCCACGGCCGCAGGCTCGTTTTTTTTGCTTTTGTTTTTGTGTCTTTTTGGCCCGTGGCCTGAAATGTTTCCGAAAAAAAAAGTAGTTTCGCGATAATTTAGAATCATTTGCAATTATCTGACCCCACCCCAGCATAGTAGCAGCGACCGTGTCAGCCGTAGAAATGCGATTTCTAAAACCCACCTGTAGTCATTTCTTACCGTTTCAGGAAATTCACTTACCTAGCCCTCTGCGAACCAGCTCCTCTTGCAGAGAAGCGAGGGTGGGAGGGCTCCAGGGAAATCCATGCCACCACAAAAACACAGGGACAGATCCTACTGGGGCCAGCTTGGGTATGTTACTTCAGCAACACAATCAAACAAGGTTGGGAATCAACGTAAACAATCAGGAGAAGACTTGCAACACAACAAGCTCCGAAGTTAGGAAATTCTGTATTCTGGAATTTAGACACTACTTCCCAAACACCTATGCGCATTTCTTAAGAAGCGCCCGCAAGCAGCAATTATAAAGCAATGCAAAACAACACGCGCCTTGCAACCTGGACATCAACCCACAAACAAATGATAAAAGTAATCTGAACCATATGACACATGGACCACCATATGGACTATTAGGGCAGGCCTGCCAGGCTACACGCATGTGAGTGGTAATTTGCTCCACATCTTGACAGATGCTTTCCAGCTGATTCTGGAGGACAGATATATGATCCTTAGTCGGCATGGCAGGGATAGGGCAGCAGCTTGTTGAGCAATACACTGAGCCGTGAGGCAGCTTTGTGAGAAGACGTTGGGCTGCTATCCTCACAACAAGAAGCAGCACACAACCGATCAACGCAACTCAACGAGATTGTTCCGTAGCAGAACACAACACGCTACGAAGTACATGTCTGTGCCACCATGCTCTTCTGCCGTTGTAATCAGCATGATAGCTGTCCTCCTGTTGGATGCTCCGCACCTTCTGTGCAACTACCTCAGCAAGAAAGATGACTAAGTCACAAAATCATACTCCTAGGCGACCACACATGAACGACATTGAGAGTCAGCTTGGGCTGGTCAAAATACACTCCATGTGCGGAACAGAACACGCCTGATTGAGATTCATCGAGATTACAGAGGTGATTTTAAAGCGTTGAACGCAGTTGCAGTATGCTTGGTCTGCAGCTCTACGAGCTAGCTGTTTCGTGATAGTGCACAACACAAAACCAAGCCTCTATCCGTGCAGACCTTGAACCCGACAGCATTGCATGGGATGATCATAAATATTTGGTTGGCTTGAACTGGTCCCGGTCACGGCCATCTTGACTAGCGCACCACCTTGTTATAAGACAAGTGAAATGGTGTGTGCTCTCTCCCATCCAAACTGATGTGTTGAGCCCAGCTTGCACAGCAGTGTACGCTTCTGCGACATTCATGTTTCTGCCCTGTGCATTTTTCTGTTCTGCTTTCTGCTTCTGCCAGCTGCTTATTGTTTTCCGGCTCGCGTTCTCTGATGTTCTCTGCTTTTTCCTGGGTCCTAATTCCTCTCTGGCTGCTGCTTCTGAGCTCTTTGCTTGGGATTCTGCCTTCTGAGAGTGGCCTGGGCTGGCTATTTTTTGATGCTTAGCGCTTGCTGTCACATCTTAAACCTTCGAAAGCGCGTGTGGGAGCAAGACTGCTCACCACGGCAGATTGAAAGTCAGAGCTGACAGCCTGTGGGAACCTTCAAATGGTTGGGACAAGGCCGGCGGAGCTCGAGCAGCTAAATAGTAGGAACCTTATATTGGGGTTATATTGGGATATTATCCCCCTAAAATGGAGAATCAAATAGAAAAGAAAATGGAAAATGAAATGGAAACTGTGGATACATTACCTTTTGTAACGTCACCATCCCCTGATCACACTCACGAACATCGCCATCATCAAGATTTGCAGAATCATTACCCCTTGTACCACTATCATTCTGTTATGATTCATGTTTACCGCTGTGTTCACCATGTCCGCCTATTTTGAAGTACAGTGTGCAGACTTTGTTGAGAAAACCTTTGCGCCGGGAAGGGGGTAGCGAGGAGATGGCCGCCCCTGCGCCTCGTTTAACTCGTACATTAACACATGAATATATAACACCATCGTTCAGCTTGCCTGCTTGACACAGCCCTTTCGGTGATCTGCCCCCTCTCACCCGAGCCCTGCTGAAACAAAGCCAAGCCAAGCCCCCGGACCTGTAGGTCGTCAATTCTCATTCGCGTTTACATCTGGTTGTTCCTATAATCCTTGCTGTTGATACGATCTGGTTAGCTCAATTTAGTACTAGCACGGTTGCTACTATCCCAAGTTCTATCAAACTGTTTACATCCTCAAGACTTGAAAGAGTCCCAGATGTGACCTGTCATGCTCTACCCTCAGTCACCTACGCAGGTAACACCAAGCTGCATACCAAACGCAGTTACCCAAAATCATTTCGGTGGCATATGAGCTCAGGCCAGATACCCAGGTGCCAAACAAGTGTGTACTGATGAATAACAAGAGTCCTGACGAACCTTTGAAGGGAGTCGTGCAGTGAAGATGCCTGGAGCTTACCCGGCATGCCACGAAGCTGACTTGGGTCGACCCCTTTCAAGCACTCCCCAAGCTTGCCGATGCTAATCCTCGGTTTGGCAAGTCAACTCGACATTTTGCTTGCAAGCGCAGGGCTGCATTTCATGATCCAACATCTTGATGATTAGTCAAACAAACCAAGCGCTGCAGGCCCCCAAGCATGTCAAGAGACTCCAACTTCTCCGTGCGGTCTGTAAGAACGACCGTCTTCTGTCGTCCCCAGGCATCCTTTCGATGACATCTGCTGCTACTGCTTTTGATGTTGCGGCTGCTGCAGCTGCCACTGCTATCACGGCTGTTCTTTCTACAATCGGAATACAGTTGCCAGTACTACTGCTGCTTCTACTTCTGCTCCTCTTCCGCACATGCTACGATTTCAAGGACTATGACTCCTCCAAGTACGACTGCCGCTTCCAACAGCAGCACTCAACAGGCCAACATGAGTGTCAACAGCCAGGCCTTCTCCTGAATGCTGTCCTGCCGGCCTTCGATTGTTTGCGCAATGAATTCCACCAGCCTGTGTTGCTCCTGCATGCACACAGAGGATGGCAGCGCGAGTTGCAAGCAGCCCCCCTGTCGTAGCAATTCACAGTGCGTTTACCTTCCGAGCCACTTCCATCCTAAGCAGACCCGACTCCCCCCACTTTAACAGGGACAGAACACGCCGACAAATTAACATTGAAGACGATTCTTGTGCTAACAGCTGATGGGAATCTTGCAATGCCACCGACCTTGTTAGCTTCGGGTCTGACTTGAGCTTCTAAGCTACCACAGTGAAGTACCCAAGTCACAGCCTCAATCAGCGAAGCCCTGAATCACGACTGGCTCGATCTTGACTTAAACTCATGTCCTTTCCCTTCTTCACCAAATCCCCTGTCAGGCTCCGCATGCGCTCCAGTAGCAGCTCTTCGCGAGACTGCAGGGCAAGAGCGGCAAGAGAAGATTTCTGAATCGGTGCCCTCTTCCCTAGTTCATGGCAAGCGATGACTATCCACAGGCATGAGCTGCAAATGTCCGTCTCAACACGTGGCAAAGAACCCAGAGATAGGTAAAAAAAAGGCCTTGCACTTGCATCATGCTGAAGTGATCAGCAGCATTTGAAGCATTAAGCAGCCAAGATCGCGTAAAATCATTCTCAACAAGGTCCCAGCCTTCTTGTCCCGGTGAGAGGCTGCAGAGGTCCCTGGCCTTGCCATGTGACTCTTGTACTCCATGTCAACAGCCCAACAAATTTCAGAAAAACCGCATACATCGGATTCGCACTTCATCTGTGCCTCACCGTCTCCTCAAGTAGATCTCGCATACCAGTCTGCACGTTCTCCTGCCGTCCAGTTGTGCTTGCTTAGCTTCTTCCACACCCACAGCAGGCGTCATCTCACAGACTTGCTTGTAGAATGCAAGTGATAACAAACAAACCCAACAAAATGCCATAGACTGGTTTGAGGTCCAGACTCTGCACACCACGTTTGAAACATAGTCTACCTACGAGGTTTCGCATGCCATTTGCGCCGAGACACCTGCTGGACAGCCTGCGGGGTAGTTGTTCCGAGCCTGGGCAATGCACGCAGAGCATGTCAGTCTTCCTTTGGCCGGCTCTACCATAGCAAAGCAAGCATTCCCAGATGAACACAGCGATAAATCTGGACAGCACACTGTCACCAGAAAGGCCTGGCATCTCTCTCATGCAGCTACTTGTAGCAAACTTAGCTAGCCACGGCAAGAGCGCATGCGTCCAGATGGAATCTCCATGCTCGGTATCCAAGCTCCCCTAGACCCTCAACATCAGCCCTAGCGGATAGGCCCTGAAAAAGACGAATCACAAAATCTTCCGAAAACACTCAAATCGTCTTTGAACGAAATCTGAGCTCACAAAAATCTCAAGAGCAGGCTATGTACAACCGGTGCATGACATCAAAGTTGCCCAAAGCGATGTATCGATTGTCGGAGTAAGCTTCTCCGGAGTCGTATCGAATCGTGACAGCTGATGTCACCGCAGTTCAACTTCTAAAAAACGCTCAACATAGCGACTCCGCCAAGGGTTGGGGATGTGGGTTTGTGAGATCTCTCAGGAAACCTACTTTGTTTCCACGGCCCTTCCAAGCTGGAAAAAGGCAAGACACGTCTTCAGCCAATCATCTTCGCTGGGGCCGTCAGCGTGCTTCAAATGAAACTTCCGCAGCATTGCATTGACCTGGACATTGTTGTCCGACAGTTGGCTCATGCTCCTTTATCGAAAGCCCAGCCCTCCACGGGCGGAAGAGTCAGTAGATCTTATGGAATCCTGTGAACATGGTTGTCAACAACAGTACTTTGAATGCTGGCAGGTTGCCTGCTCTGACAAAGAAAGCAACTTGTTGGTATTCGTCCTTGCGCAGCTGTTGCACGATTCCCCCCCTCTCTGTGCTGCCACTTGGAGGTCTGACAATCCCTCTTGCACACTGGCTACAAGAAAAGCAGAACTCTCCAGACTGAGCTTCAAATGCTTCAAGACCCTGAGCATCCTGTGCATAAAACCGCAGGCTGCAGGGATTTCCACTGTCCACAACACTTGAGCCGTGGCGAAAACCCTTGGAACCTCCTGTTCTCGTATCAATCATTTTTGCTGAACCCTACGTTTTACTGACGCGGTCCCAGCAAACGAGATATGAGTGAAAACCTCGCAGGTTTTAATGACGCGCGCAAGAAAGATTTGCATTTTTTTATTCTCTGAGATGGCGAGGCCGCTTCTCCAAATTATGCACAGGGGTTCTGGACGGGATATGGGCGTCCATGTGTCATTCACTAAGGGCAAATGCACGAGCGATGCAATTGCTGTCCTGGCTTGACCAATTATCCGCACTCCGTCTGCAACGGACAGGTCGATCTTCTTCGCCTCTCATCAGGTCACCAAGTTGCAGCAGGAATCTTCACACGACTGCCATCGTGAGCATTACAACAAAACCGAACACTACGAATCCAGTTTTCAGGGTTTCATGGCTTGCCGTTGACCAACAGAAGCTCTATAAGCTCTTACAGAACAGTACAGCGTGTGGCAGAACTCAGCTCCATGAGTCAACCGAACCCGTGGCTCGCTTCAACCCAAAGCTTGCCGGACTGAAATGACACGTCAAGCTCAAGTCGCAGTCTACAGAGTAAACTGAGGGTGCGTGCGGAACGTGCTTCAAGCTGCAACGAATTGAGCCCAACAACATTCTGCCAAATGAGATAAGTCGCTTGGACGAAGGGGTGAAAACAAGGAAGAAAGCCATGCTGATTTACATGTAGCTCTCTTAGAGGATGGCAAAGCTATCGACAGCGAGGTTAGTGATGGGCGTTTGCGAGTAATACGACACCATGGCCGATTGATGACGATAACAATGACAAGACTCTGGCAACAGTCATGACATTTGATAGGTCGTGGATGGAGATAAGGACACTGGCTGATGGGGATAGTGCATAATGTTAACGCTGACGTTTCCACATCTCAGAGACCTGTGCAATATGATGAGATGCACGCTTCATGGTGATGCGAACGAAGACGCCAGCAACAATGAAGGCACGACCCCAGTCTTCTTTCCATTGCCGCCAAGGGCTTCCCCTGCGGCTGCTCCCAATCTATTGGGAAGCTGGATCTTGTTCACTCGCCGCGAGGAAAGTCGTGTTGCGGTGACTATTCTGCTGCTGCTGCTGATGATGAAGATGATGACGATGATGACGACAATGATGATGATGATGATGATGATGATAACGATGATGCTGCTGAGGGCGCTGATGTGCAGAAGGATGGCGTAATCATGATAATTATGATGATGATGACGATGATGATGCTGAGAGCGATGACGTGCAAAAGGATGGTAGTGATAATGGACATGACGCCGGCACGACGCTGACGTACGAGCGTGATGAGATGATGTCAGAGGCCACCACTGTAATGCCAGTAGGCGATAGATACTGGCAGATGTTGAATATGGAAGGTCACAAGTGTCGGGTAACTCACAACAATGATGACCGCCACAGAATGTGTTTGGCTAAGCCTGTTGCATTCACGAGAGTGGCCAGGACGAGTAGATGGACTGGATCATGATAGATCGGCATTGACAGAGCACCACCAAACTGCTGCTGGTAGCGATGACAGAACCGACGGTAGATGTCGATACTCGAGGGTTCCAGCACGATAGATGGAAGAAGCTGCGATGCTGAAGTTCATGCTGTGAGCATCGAAAAATCATGCATGACCTTGTGAGAGAAGTCAAGAGAACTGCGCAGGTTGCTCTGTTCTAGACTCTAGACAAGATATGCACTTCAACCAGCCCGGAGTCGCCTGCTTCTTAGCGTGAGCCGAAGCGTTTTCTATGAGGTACTCTGCATTTTGCTTCGTCATCCTGGCAGTGAGAAGTCATCATCCCTCTGCAACATGAGCAGCAACAGGAGCAATCCAATATTTCCTTGAGGATCCCAACCCAGTCCTCAAAGACCCATCCCCTGTTAACGTCTGGACCAGAGGTCGCAACAAAACCATGCAACAACGCCACTCTTTCTCACGAAGCTACTGGACATCTGCTTAACGTTATGTCCTTGATGGAGGACTCGATAAAGAGGCTTCAAAAGCAGAAGGATTCTATGAACAAATCTTGAGCGTCCACAGGGCTCCCACTGTTGCAAGTGCTCCTTACAAGTGGGTTTCTAGAACATACGGGGCTACCCAAAACACATGAATGGAGTAGGGCTTTTGGGCATAGCTGACTGCACGGCCCTCTTCAGCTGACGAAGCGACTTAGGTTTTCGAGCTTCTAGCGCTGGGACCTAGACCCTTGAAAAAAAAAACTGACAACAAATTCGACATAAACCATGCGTGTGCTGCGTATCCGCCCGGCAGAAGGGCACAGGAGGACAATCCTGACCATATTGGGTGTGGAGACGCTTCAGTGTACTCGCAGACCTGAAGCCTCAACTGGTCACCATGTGGGCAAGAAGAAGATTTGGCACGGACTCGGTGCCCTCGGAGCCTTGAAAGCACTCAGGAACACTTGACCACTCGTCGGGGAAGAAGCCTTGGAACCACTCAGGAACGATTCCCAAGCAGTGGCCGATCGTTGGAGATGTTTGACCTTTGTCAGTTCTCCGTCCTCCTGTCTTCCTATTCGCTTATCTCCTTTGTTGTTTTCTGCTCTCCACCCTAGCATCTGTGCTCTTGTGTTTTCTGTATGCTGTCCTCTCACTGCGCTCTTCCGTCTCCAGTCTGTCCTGTCCTCTTGTCCTGTGCTCTCTCATCGGTCCTCTCATCAGTGCTCTTATTTGTTTCGTCTGTCCCGTTGCTTGTCTGACGCGTGGCTGGGTCGCCGCTGTCCAAGTTATAGTTAGTCTAGCCCCGCAGAAGGTGGAAGACAACTGACTTCTACAGAAGGTCGCCAGGGTTTACATGCACCAAGATCGCGCAAGCACCCACAAGAATCCCCCAAAACCCGTACCAAAAAGTCCGAAACCCTCACCAAAACCCATGAAAAAACATTCTTCTCGTTGGGGATCTGCTCTTGCTCATCAAGGTGCGCCTTCGGATGAACTTTGCCAGGCGTTTCCATCCAGGAGTCGCGTGGCAGAGTTGCACAAAGGCAAAGCTTACGCAAGATTTTCAGCATGGAAAATATTGGTCTCCAGGTGCATCCCCAGTACCCAAATTGTCTCTTGAACCACTGCCAGCAAGTGCTGCAGGAGAGTTGTCAAGAGGATCGATGTTGTCAACATCGGTCGGAGTTGGGCCACTCCCGGATGTGTTGCGGCCAAAATGTCAACGAGAACCCGCTGGATCGCGTTGATCTCGTTGGGTTGAAACGTCATGTTGACGGTGGGAACTGCACCATACTGAAACAAGTAGGGCTGGGAAAAAAACGTGCGGCAACAAATGGTGAATCGGCGCCGTGAGCGACCGATATTGTTTGCAATGCCAATGAATGTGTTGCACTACGTTGGGCACTTCACTGTGCTGTGACACCTGTGCTGGCCATCACGCGAGGGGCTGACGAGCCCGCCGGTCAAGATGTACAACAAAATTTTGCTACAGGGGGGAGAAGGTCAAGGAAGTAGTCCGGACATTCCTCGCTCGCTCATGGAAGGAAGCTCAAGGAAGACTTGCGGCTTGGAACATTCCACGATCTTGAGCAAGCAGCGTGTGCTCCACAATCGCCACATTCCTTCTTTGAGGTTTCGGGCTTGGAACATACCAAAAACATGATGCATGCACGCGCCCCTTTCAACAACCCAAAACTGGTGCGAGGAGGCAAGAAAGGCTTCTGAGGGGATCGAAAAGGTCTTTCGCTAATAGATCTGGACGCCGGGGTGTGCACACAGCCCTTTCTTGGGCTTTTCGGGCCTGGAAAACACCAAAGACATGATGTGTGCACATGCATCTAGCCTCCTCGCCCTTGCAAGAAAATGCTATGGCAACGGATTTGGAACAACTGGCTCCGGGATACGGGAAGGATTCTTGGGAGGGATCGAAAAGGTTCGCTGCAAGGGTCTGGATGCCGGCGTGGGCTTCAAGCGCAGATTGAAACGATGGAGTGGTTCCGTGCATATGTGCACTCCTCCCGTCGCTCTTGTCTTAAACCCTTGTCATTGTATCCTTCTACCTGTTGCTGTAGGCACTTGTCGTGGTAAATAGGCTTCCCCTGACTGACTGCGATCTCTACAGAAACAGTCAGACAAAGTTTCTGCTTCGATGACAACTTCTGACACTCCTCCTGCACAAAGCCTAACATGTAACTTTCTGCGCACATCTAGACGTGTCTGATCTCCGCTCTGGGGCTTGCTAATCTCTCTGAGGGCTTTCAGAACGCACCTCACAAAAAATGCGTTCGCACAGGTCCGATTCGTAAGCCTGCTGCTCGTGACCGCAAACAATTGTGTGTCCCAGTCCTGTCTTTGGCAAATGCTTTCTTCAAGCTTCGTATCGTAACCTGAGCTGCTGGCAAGGATGATCAATATCGAGTCCCTGCTCTGATACTGGTCGGCGAAGCCGTCTCGTCTTCAGATTTCTCTGTTGGGTGTGATCGTCTGGGGTGCGTGGAGTAGTTGGGGGTTCTCTTCGCGAGTCTGCCTGCAGTCGTAACCTGGCTCTAGCTGGACCTGCACTGCCACAGTCTTGAACATATTCTTCCTACGGAACCTGGCTTGCCTGCTAAGGAGAGAAAGCAGATCTCATGCTCGTGGTGTCCTGTTAGATCACATCACCGTTTTCTGCTCTTTCAAGATCAGCATGTAGACCATGCGCGAGGGGGAGACAGCTTCAGCCATGTCGCACATAGCGAACATAACATGGTTGGCAGAACCTACGACAAACAACGGGGTATATGAGGACACCACTGCACGACCGCAGCAGGAGTCTATGAGTTCGGACGCTGCATCTGAAGACCAGCAGCGAGCTCTGCAGGATGGGCTGGGAAATCATCATCTTCCAGCTCGCAAATGATGTACCACCTTGGAAGTTGGTCTGAAACCCTCGCCAGCCAAAACAATACCCACCCTATTGGCCTGCAAGCTGAATTCTCTACGCCCTGAGAGAGCTGCGCGCTTTCAGATCGACCCCTGGATTTAGCCGTCTTTATCCTAAGCTGCATAAACTCCCCGCACGCAGAAAATATGACCTTCGTGTCTTGAGAGGCTTCTAAAACCAATTGGAAATTTGTCCAGAAACCCGAGACAACCATGAAGCCACTCAATACAAGGCTGAAACTACTCAAGACCAGGCACATGCTTAAGAAGGCCTTCGTGTCTCTCAGCGTGTCCACTGCCTCACTGACCTGGCGGCAGACAACGCAGCATCTTTAAGAAGGCCTTTTCTTTTGGCCTGCTCGAGCAGCGTGGGAGGCTCTCCCGCGTTGGCATGAATTCGACCGTAGGCCTGCTCGAGGCTATAACAACCAGATCGCTTGGCTTGTAGTTAAATTACAGGAGTGTCTTGAGTTCTTGCACTCCACTCTGCGGCAACCAAGGTAGCCAATGCCTGTAAAAAATGCTACTAAACCAACTCATAAACCAAACTTGGCAAGCTGTCTTGTGGCCTTTGCACCCCCTGCCCTGAATGCCCGCAACATGGCCGCCACCAGCAGACACGTTGGGACCTCGAAGATGAGACCAACCAGGATATTGATCATCAAGATGCCTGCAGGAACAACGATGTCTTGGCAAAGGTCCAACAGTCTCAGCCTACTTTTTGTGAACTCCCGTCTAGAAGTGAGGACAAAACATTCCTGACGAATAAGTCGCTGCTGTGTGTGTAGATCCAGAAGCCGAGGGCAGACCTATTGCTGCAAAGTGGCTCATCAGACCAAGGTAAGTGAAGTGCCAGAAGTAGGCCAGCACCTCACTCTGTAGGGTCTGAAGCAGCCTTTGAAGAGGTTTCCTGTAAAAAGGACACTATGGTGGCTGCCACAACCAGTAGGGTACACCGCCCTGTTTCTGATGCTGCGGATGCTGTGGTCAGATCTGAATCAAACGTCCACTTGTGACCAACACAACATCATCCAAACTCAGCTTGCCCCTGAACGCCACGACATTTGCAATGCTTCTACGCCCATGTAAAAGATCGCCAGGCACCTGGTACCAGATTTCGTACACCTCAATGTCTTCCATGCCTACGCCAGATCGCCAGCAGAAAAACCTCGCCAAACGGTTGCTACCGGTGATGATGGGTGTTTGATCCCTCTTGCACAACCAGCCAGAGTGCCATGCCCGTTACGTGTAACATTGAAAGGCCTTGCATTTTCGGACGGGTGCCTCTTGGGTAGTTGGTGCTCACATGACTTGTGGGAAGGGCCCCAGCAGTGCATCTGTCACCTGAAGCCTCTAGCAATGAAGGCACCTGTGATGCCAAAGTGCTGATACTGCTGACTGACGCTGCTGTGCACAAACGCACTTGACGTAGCGACCATATATCGCGAGCGACCCTCGGGACGGAAGCAAGCGTGATCAACAGATCACAGCGATCGTGACTGACACAGTTCTTCTAAAGCGCAGCACGCCCTCAAATCGCAGCTTTGAATTCATGCGTCTCGCTGGGCTGTTTGCGAAGACACTGCACAGCAACTTCGCAACCCCTCGAAGCAAACTTCCTCATCTTACCAATGTTTTGAACTCACGGTACAGTTCCTTGTGCAAACAAATTTCCTCACCTGAGGTACGTGTCTTGTTCCTGCCCAGGAGCACGGAGTAAACAAACGTGTGGAAGCCTTCAACCGTGTAGCCAAAAAGCACCATACCAGCTGATGCAAAGCACAGAAAAACCTCAGCAGCACGGCAGCTATCGCTACCATATGTTCTTTCCCATGCCTGCATTCCACGAAGTTACGAGCCATCATGAGCGCCTTGACCGAACGTCTTTTAAACGTCCACACTGATCGGCTTGCACTGAGAACCCTTCTATTCACTGCTGTCAAACAGATGCGTCGAAGGTCTTTTAGTGTTCCGGCTGGCAAGATGAGCCTTCTTATTCGATGGCGCAATGCACTTCAAGCTTTGTGAGCGCTAGCACCGAACGGGATGCATTCGTCACAGATGAGCTGCAGTTGCTTTGTGTCACTGTGAAAGCAGCAGGTACAACTCTTGCCAGCCGGGCAGCGAGCAAAAAGGCGATAGCAAAGTGAATGACATCTGTTGCAGAGTCTGTAATTGTCTGGATCACCTGAGGTGAGCGCAAAACAAACGTGCAGCAGCATCTATTGCCATGTAATCAACGCTGCCGACATCAAACGCAGCTGCCCAGGCAAGTCCATCTTCTTTGCCGAATCTGAACATCTATCACCCAGCTGTGATGCATGAGCAGAAGTCTTGGAATCAGCATGCTGTCTGTCTTGCCGCGCTTATCAAATCCGTTGTGACTGGAAACCTTGAAACTCGCATTCAATGCCTCGGCCTTTTCAGAGCTCTCAGGTACTCCACAACGACTTGATCGGTAAACGTGCCATCAACTCAACCCTTTTTGGGCTACAGCGTCTGTCACGAGATAAGACGCGGCTAGCTTTATCCTTGCAAGAACGTACGTCTGTCATGACGCTGTGCCCGATGAACGAGTTAGCACTAAGTCTCGAGCAAGCAGGACGTGAGGCTATGGTTTCAGCAAACAAATATCCTCACTTCAAGCATTCTTCTGGAGCATCACCGGCTTGGCAGCTGAAGAACATCTGCAGGCAAGACGCCACATCTAGGCGATCATTTGCTCCTTGCAAACACCAAGGGGCGACTCTTAGGAGAAATACTTCTCACAGACCTGCCAATCAAACTTGCAATTGCCCGCACCTGCCTCAAAGACTCAAACCCCAACCCCGAGTCCCTCACGCATTCAGGAATCACCGATCCAAGGATCGGAAAGCTTTGAAGAACTTGAACATCAAAACAAACAGGTAGAAGAAGAGGGACGAGCGCACTAACCTCAGCCCATCGACTCAGCTAGACATGGTCCGTAGTCGCAAAATAGGAGATATCTTTCGATAGCTGTCGAGCAGTTAGGCAAAGCGGTTTCAGAAGAACTCTGCGGAGACTTGGTCGCTTATCTCAAGACCCTGACCATGGTTGCCAGGAAAAGCTGTGTCCCTGAATTCACGTGGGCTAAAACCCACCCAAGTGAGAGAGACCCGGTTCTAGGGGCACTCCTGCTGTGGGTAATGTGAAGTGTGTATGACTGCTGAGTCAAGTTGGACCAGGGCAAGGCCAAGCAGCACGTAGAGATAACTCGTCTCTTCAGCAACCGTCAGAACATCCGACATTTTCATCTCAAATTCCTCAGCGAGGCAGTCAGGTGGTGAATTAACCTGGCATGAAATTCGATGTCGGATGTAATTTGTCTCAGGATGTTCTAGACAGCCATCCATCACTAATAGAAGCAAATGACATGCATTTTTCGACAACTGAGCGGCCTGTCGATCAACTACGCTGTTGAACTCCTGAAATCTGATGGCATCAAGATCTCAGCTGCAAGCTCACCATATGCAAACAAAGCATACACATGTTCAAGACAATAGCCAAGTTTGACGTAAACAAGATGCGCCGAAACTCCCGGCCTCTGGACTTCGGCAGGAAAGACTTTGCCCAGCCCGTTTATTGGGCTCTAGGGGAAGCCTTTGGGTCAGGCTTGAGGCTCCGATCGTTCCAGTGGACTTGCAGGGCTATTTGACGAGCTGTTTCAAAAAAAAATCTCACCGCGCTTGAAACCTGTTCATAATCATAGGCTCTACCATCGTCTTCAGACGTTTGGAGCCACCAGGATGTGAACTAGACCTGATTTCACTGCAGCACCACAGGGCGACGCCAATCTGATTTTTCGGCATTCAACCCTGAGGGAAGTTCAGAGTTCACGGAAGGCTTGGCATCAAACCCGCCGAACCCTTCCCCACTATTCCCGAGGCCCCCCTTCCCTTATTTGCCTCGGACCCAGAACTTTGAGTTGTTGCACATTTTCCTATGGTTTACTGCGAATTTCAAATTATCTACCTGCACCTTTTGCTTTGCTGCTGGAAATGACGGCAAGCTTCTGGACGATCTTGCTCCCAAAAAACATGTTCGGTTCTGGTTGGATTCCCTGTGAACACCCTGGCATGGGACGAAGAAAGAAGACAAAATGTGGCTTGGTTTCTTTTCCTTTGATGATGATGATGATCATGATGATCATGTTTGTCATTCAGTAGGGGAACGCTGCAATTCCTTGAATGCACATCGGTTCCAGGGTTAGCAGCAAACAAGATACTGTGGTCCTACAAGCGATAAGAAACAGTTAAAACGAAGAACTATGTCGGCTATAAGCACCCACAGAGTGACACTTGGTGCGCTCTTTGTTTCTTCAACTATTGCCAAGTGGGTTGGGTTCCAGCTAGCAATCACCTGAAACAAATCGACATCAACGTAGGCTTGCCTCTTCCCACTTGTAAATGGATGTTGCCCGCACCTCTACCCCTCTCTTCCTCCCTTTCTATCTTTTTTGAAATCGCCTCTGCCCGGCATGCCGGTGCTTAGTTTTTTTTTCTCGGCGTGTAGCCCCGGCACAATTTCCGGAAACCACCCCAACAACCATCCTCCCACCTCTTTACCTCCTCCTCCTCCTCCTACTACTACTACTACTACTGCTACTACTGCTACGACTTCTACTACTACTACTACTACTACTGCTACTATGAGGTTTAATTTTGGGCATTTTCATTCATGGCTACAAGTGTCTGCAATATCCACACCCCCTGTGCTACTTGAGGGTCCCACTGAGATCTTCTTGTCTGGAGAACCTTTGCCATGGGGGTTGCAGGTCTTCGGGTTTAGGGTTTACGCCTTAAGCCTCGGGCGGGGTCATCATTGAATCATGTAATTAACGTGATGGTTTCATATCATAAGCTAGACTCTCGTGGCTGAGAGCGGAGCTGCTGGCAGATATTTCCGTGGTTCTTACTCTTTCCCATGCTCTTTCCTGACTCTCGCCTTCTTGATGCCTGACTCATGGTTCCTGACTTTCCTCCACAGTTTCTGACTTCGACAGCACTCCCCTCTCTTCCTCCTTGTTTCGAAGTCGCCCACAACACAAAGGCGTTGGCATCCTCCGCCTTCCCTTGCATTTTCATCCACCTCAGATCATTTCTGTCCCCATTTTCCAACGCCCGCCACTCCCCCGACTCCCCGTCCAAAGCCTTCTTGGCCAACGCAGTGCCCCCTCCCTTCTTTTTTCGACCCAGGCCGTGCTCTACTGTGCCACTATCCAATCTGCTTTTTGGAACTCCTGGGATTATGGGCTGGTCCCTGGGAGCCGGCTACCAAAAATCCACCACACCCTCCCCGCCGTTCACGGTTGGGTTTCTGAGGTTCACCTTTCGGGTGCTCTGCACCCACCTCGAGCCAGGCCGAGGCGTTAATAATATTTGACTGTAAGAGTACGTAAGAGCCGTCAAGGTGAAGAATTCAACAACAAAGCTGCTTTTTCATGCATGCCTGCCAGGCGGATGGTTTGGGTTTGAAAGCACGGTCCTCATAGGTCAGGTAACTGCGATTGGCGAAAACCTGAGATCAACCACACATTCCTTGCTTAGGATGACATGAGCATCCAGCAGCTATGAAGCCCTGGCAATCTGATGCAATGCAGGCACTGCCAAGTCCAAGAGCTCGGACGGTAAGCCAGCCAATACATCCCTCACTTCCATAGTCACCTTCAGCACAAAGGTGATCCAGATACACCTGACAGGTTGGCTCCCGGTGAGCGTGCCCGAAACCTTCCGTTTTGCAAAGGAGTTAAATATATCTGCCAAGGAGCACAGACCCAAGCCCAACTGTTACGTTGATCCAGTCCACGACGTTCCAGAACTTGAGGTAGTCCTGCCGAGGAGGGGCTCACATGCAAAACCAGCAGCCCATAAACTGGCATGAACAGAACTTGCTAAAATCATAGAGATTGCGCCAAGCCTTCAGGCCATCCAAGCCGTTCATAGCCGCAGGGATTGCTTCTTTGAGCTCCGCGTACAAGATGCTAAAAAGCCTCAGGTGCCCTTCGCTTGGCAGATTGAGGATTGCGTGAGGCTATCTGTTTACGGGTCTGACATCGTCTGACTCGTGCTTCCCTACGCGCAAGTCAAAGCTCCTCTATACATGTGCGAGGGAAAACACAGTCATCTCGCAGAACCACACAGCCATCGATTTTGACATAAGACCTGTTGAGGCCATCGCAGAATCATGTAGAATCCAAGCGACAGGGCGATGAAGATGAGGTCAGGCAGCACCAGTGCCAGGTTATGATACGGAGAGCCATAGAAAGTCTCGCGATTGCCTTCATTCATTTATGCAATTCCCTGGCCCGAGCTAGCAAAAATGGTTCTGGCTGCAGCGCCTCGTCAAGGTACTTCAGAACATAGCTGAAGAAAGTGCACCATTGTTCCCACCGATCGTCTGTTGACAACTACCCTATTCGGCGATGTAGTGCTGAAAGACTTCTTCTTCTTCTTCTCTGCAGCTCTCATCAAGGGCTGACCCTCTTTCTTTCTCACTACCAGCTGTGTCCCCCCGCAAGTTTGTTTGCTAGTATGGGTCTTTAGTTGTTTTAGAAGTGGGTGGTGTCAGCGGTGGCGGTGGCTGTTTTAGTGTAAGAGGGACGCGGCACGTAGTGTCGCTATGCTGATGCGCAGATAATTCAGCTTGGACACCTGGCCGTTGGATGAGGTAGCCTGCTGGTGTCCACTCCAGACGGAGGCTCTGTAGCGTGAAGGCAACCTGCAAAATCAGCAGTGTCGCTTGAGGCAGCGGGGTGCCCTGACTTCCCACAGTGTGACAACATCCAGCAGCCTGGCCGTAGATCTACGCTGAAAACTTGAACAGACAAAGTGTTGATGATAAGCGAGAAGAAACCTGGTGAGCATTGTAAGTGAAGATCTGAAGGTCCAAATTCCTTAGATGCGAACGTAGCAAATGAAAACCAAAAACTGAAACTGTTTCTCGATCTTGCGCACGCTATCCCAGTGACGACAGTTCTAGCTGGCTTGCTATTACTTCAGTTGGCTCTGCTAAGCTAGACCAGCCAAACAGACTACGCATGTTTGGGTAGACTGAGTTCAACAAGCACCTGGATTGGACAAGCTCCCATCTCAGAGCAAGCCTTCACAGAACTTGTGGCTTTCAGCCATGCTGCAGGGTGTTCGCATCGAGCCATGCGCTGTCCCGGTACTGGTGTAGTTGCTCCTTTCAGCATCTAGAGTGACAATGTACCATTCACAGCGTTCTGGAAAATCAGGAGGATTAGGAGAATGCATCTGTCAGAAAACTGCCCAAAAATACATTTAAGAAAAAAAAAGAAAAAAGAAAAAAGAAACAACATGGACAACACCGAATGTAGCCTTTCAGGCACTGCAGCTCTTCTAGGACGTCTCAGTTGCTTGCGGCTTCCCGCAAAGTCTGAGCTTGCTGCTTGGCGGACATGTAACTGGAGCACAACGCGAGCACTAGCTGCCAAGCAAACCTCTGACATTTTTCTGCGCTGACTGCAAACCATACGCGTGCGGATGTCCTCAAGAGTCTCTCTCTTTTGATGGTAGAACATGTACCTCCGCCCACAGAGGCGATCATGATGGCAATGTCATGAAATTCCTGGACTCATCAATGTGTTTGTGTGACTTGTGGGCACCAATCCTCCGGCCGCTGTGGGCCTTGCTGATGACATGTTGGGTAGATTGCCTGGCTGGCACTTTCTGACATCGCACAGCAAGAATTCTTGAACTCTTGCTACCAATCAGATACCACCGTCACCATGCAGCATCGCAGAATCTGACTTGCCAGAGCCTACAAGCGGGATGCGCTTTCAGACAGAGTTCGTCTCGCCTTCCAGAAGTCCCCCACATCGCACTCCTCCGCAAAGGTGCGCCATCTTCAACCCCACAGCTCCCTAACATAACCTGCATCCTGAGTGAATGAGGGATAATGCAGGATGAGCATATCCTTGATTGTAGAGACAAGCTTGTAGAGCTCAAACCTTCTTAGGGATACATCTGAGAGCAGGGTAATTTTCTTTGTGCATCGCGCTGCCTAGGCCCTTGCAATTGTTAGCCCTCACATGCCTGGGGGTCTGAGACCCACCTCCGTGCTCGGACTGCTCCAATGATCCTGGGTGTCTTGGCCATGCCAAAGCATGCTGATGTAATGCATGTCGGTCTACCAGATAAACGCACGATGGAAGCAGGTCGTATCTTGAGAATCTTGATTCCAGCCGTCGGTGTGCAACTCTGGAGCTCTAAGGTAAACAATCCTGCCTCGTTTGATCATGTTAATACGGTATTTCTCAAATGCTGTCATGGAGACAGAGATGCGGATGCTGCTACGTCTTGGGGTCGAGAATGGGGCTGGGAAAGGTTGCCCAGAAAGACAAGATCCTTCCACGAGGTCTTGACTACAGCAGCAACAGCAGCAGCAGCGATCTGACATTTGAAGTTACTTTTCGGTGCTGCGGCAGAGCTATGCAAGCCCTCGCCACCTGCAGCAGCCTGCAGCTTCCAGGTACAAATTCCAGCTGAGCAGGTGCAAGTGGCATGCAGCAAAGGCTCTGATGCTCCTTGAACAGTCGGCCAAGGAACGGGCTCGTCACAACAGGGTCCTGCAAAAGCAATCGTAATGAAGTAAGTGATCCTAGCAAAACTGTAACGCAGTGCTTTCTACAATAAGATCACCGCTGGCCCATTCAACATACCGTCCTGTCCGTAGTTGCCTCCGTAGCGGTACTGCCGCACGAAAGAAAACAGATCATGCCTGCAACGGCTGAGGACGCAAATGACCGCAAATAAACCTGCACATCCGGCACTGGTCTGTCCATCCCCCAACTCATCCAGTATTGCCTCAACATGTTGCGTAGGAATGCGCGCTCGAGCCAGATCCAAAAAGTCTCCCTATCGACCATATCGTAGGCGAGGAAATCACCTTGACATTTCGTTGCAATCCAGAGGCTGGCACTCAGTCGTCACATCGTCACATACGGCTGCTAGGGAAATTGCAGGTGCAGGGAGGATGCATAAGGAGACTGTTCTGAATCCAAAACTGCATAGGCGAAACTCCTGAACACCGAAGGGTGCGACAAGCATCTGTCCATCTGAGCCTTCAGACCTACTTGCAAGAGAGGATCCGAATCCAAGACCTGCTTCGTGCACTTGCGAAATCCTGCAACGCAGCGGCAACTGCAACTTTCATTCCCATTGCACTCTTCTGCCACATGTCTACTGAACATCACACCAAGACCTGTGGCTGCAAAAACAAAGGTGCTGCGTCCTAAGAACCCAATGTTGGGCACTGATCCCCTGAACATACTGCTGCCCGAAATCAGCATACTCATCACCCCGGTGTTTCGTCACAACTGCACAAGTTGCGCACGGTCCTGAACGCATCGAACACGCCGAGGTGCAACACAGCAGTCCCAACGAGGGCAAAGAAGAGCAGCAGCGTTTCTGGCAGCGACCAGAGATTGCTCTTCTTGTCCTTGGTGCAGAAGCGCTACTAAGCTCAATTAACCGACAAAGACACAAACAAGACCAGGCATGTTGCATATTCGTACTTCAGCCAATCCAACAGCTCCGTCAGTGAACATTCGGTCGACTTGTGGTCCTGCAGGGGGGTTGCCCGGCTCAACAGTTATCATGATTCTTAGCTGGGGCATCGCAACGCTGAACCAATGCACTCGTGCACGGCCGGATGTCCTTCTCTTGGCCAAACAATGTCTTCCTAAGCTCTCCGAAGAGTGCAGCTGGCTAACTGGGGCAGCTTGAGGCAGAGAGTGCCATTGTCCCGGAATTGCTATCACGCTGAGGATTGAAGTTGCACTGCAGCTAGCCAAACGGGAAGCTGCGGCCGAGAGTCTTCACCAAGGTGAAAGCAACATTGCCGCGGGTAAGACCCTTGTGAACATCCTCCACAGTGACCTCCAAAAAGCAACTAGCTTGGAACCAATCAGACCGTTTTGTTACATGATGTGGGGAGGCTTAGATTTGCAGCTGCACCAGCTGGCTCCATGGGGACACGTTCATCCTGCATCATCTTCTGACGAACATTGCTCCAAGATTGCTCTGTGCTGAGACGGCATAGTGCTAGCAGCACATAAGGCTAGACTGCTTTGTGCGGCGAGAAGTTTAGGTCCTTAAAAACTCGCGATCGGCCTCCCCAAGACCATCCACGTCACAGTCTTTGATCCACTCCTTGATATCTTGGGCTGTTAGACCGCAGCCGTCCTTGGTGAAGAACGATTTCCCCTCCATTGCCCTGGAAGAGAAGAGAGGTGAACCCATGTCCGTAAGGTCTATCAGCAAATTCAGCAAACTATCCCGGGCGTTCAGCTCAACAACTTCTTCCAAAGAAGGAATTTGCCATGCCGAGACTCAATCGAACAGAGCTTAACCAGCTCATGCGTCTCGATGCTGCCAGACACATCGAAAGCAAAAAACAGCCTGGGATCATCTGGGTTCTCTTGGTTTAGTGTGTCTACCTCGATCTTTCTCTAGATATGAAATGCCCTCTTCGAGGTATGCTGTCAGAAAAATAACCTCATCAGGTTCTGAGTTTGGATACTCTTCCGCGTGAGTTCCAGGGGACAAACGCATGCGCAAATTGTTAGGACCTCTGGATACAGGATCATGCAAGGCCGCGCTTACGATCACCGCCGTGCTTACAGTCACCGCCGCCCAGCTGCTCTTGCACGTCATCTCTAGTGATGAGGTGCACATGGCCTGGCAGAGGCGGTCTGGTCTCCAAAGAAACACTCAAGAGGCCCTGGCAGATACCATGTCTCAATTCACTGCATGCCATGGGCATGATTGTCTTAATGTTTCGAGCTGTTTCCACATTGCGGTAAGCCTGTCTTCTGCAAGCTGCCAGCTCTGTCAGCCCCTCGATGGCTTCCGCCTGGCCTTCCTTCACCTTCTCCCAGACGGCGCAGCGCTGCACCCTCTCTTTCAAGGGCTCCACTGCGAACATTGCGGAGCGGGCCAAGCTTCTACATGTCTGAATTCACATTGTTTTGTCGCTCTCCCCTGACTACTTGAGCCTTGCGAGCTAAAGAATTTGTCTAGCAGGTTGTGAGCATAATTTGAAGGGATGTTGTTCTGGCCAGGAGCGCGTGTAAAAATGATCGGATGGATCCCGCAATATCCAGCAGCATCACTTGCGGGCTTTCACCCTGGTTTGGCTCTACCTTCAACAGCTGAAGCCACACGGATACGCTTGTGCGTTCAACACCTTTGTAGGGCCTCCCTCTTCCAAACCATCCATGTTGGCCCTGGTCAACTTGTCCATGCTATGTTAGGAGTCAGAAATCATCGGACTGTAGCCCTCTGCGCTTGTTGTGTGGAAGCGTAACTTATCGGACTTATCGCATAGAAATCACCACAAACGGTCAACCTGCCTGATCTCGTGGCGAAAAAAAAAACAGCTGATGACTGCTTCTTTTATGATGCTGGGCCAGGAGCTCCTGATCTGCGAGTCGTAGTTGCACGCGTAATGATTGTCATTACCACAACGAGAGGCATCGATAAGAACCAGATGAGGCAAAATAAGGATAGGAAAAGTGGCTATAGATACGACAAGACGGAAACTTTACTCATGAGGAGAAAGAAAGCCAAAGCATCAAGAACATTGGCCTTACTGGCCAGGCCCCAAGACAGCCGCAAGCTGCTGAGCAGAGCGCTGTACGGAGACTTGTAGTTGGCGGTTACCATGTTGCGGCATGTTGCGGCTTCATATGAAACACAAGAAGCTTGAGGTGCTTACTTTAGAAAGCCTATCATGGTGGAATGGCATTGCAACATGGCCCCAAAATGGCTCAAGACTGTTCCCAGCCTGAATTCCACGGCACCTGACAAGGTGCAAAAGGGGCCAAAGCCTTGATGGCAAATGGCAAATGCAGAGCCGCTGAGCCCATGCTCTCTTGGGCTCTCTGCCTCTCTGCCCCAGCCACAGACAGCCGATGCCGATGCCGCATTGCAGCGAGCAGGTCATGTATCTGCCGCCCCGCTTGGACGTCTTGTAGCTTGGGCTGGAACCTGAGGCTGCAACCGGTGTACATGCTGGTGAAGGGATTGATTTGGGGTGGGGATAATGGCGGCAATGCCAGTCCTAGCGGCATAGTAGGTTGCCTTACTGCGTTCTCTCGCGGTTGCAGGAGAAGCTGCAGCAGCAGCCGCAGCAGCACCAGAAGCTCTGAAGAACAGGGCTGATAATCTAGTGTCCAAATTCCAGCTGCTGCAGCATGGCCAAGGATGTGCCCAAGCCCCAATTCGCAGTTGGACACATCGGGGGACATCCCTGGTCTGCATTCGCAAATTGACGGCACTTCCACGCCGCATGCAAGAACAATTTGCTTCTAGTTTGATGGAGGACTAAGGCCCACGTCAAGTCACCACTCCACGCTCAAGATGCTGCGTGGTGTGAGCTCTCTTGACATGCTCTTGGTCTCGATACACTTTACCTTCCATGTTCCTGCCGTATCTTTCAGAAGTTTAGCTTGCCCAGGGTACAAAAAATGCTCGCTCATCCACAGGTAGTAGTTCAGGTAGTGCAGGTTGCTTGACTGGGTCTACCAAGCTTGGCTGAAACCTCAAGTGACACAGCATTGGTTTCTTGCATTGTGAGTCACATATGTGCAGTGGAAGGCCATCACGCCTCTTGAACGCTATGTCAAATTCACCGCATCGCAGCAATGAGCGAATTCTAGGACGAAAAGCTACAAGTCCCTGCCAAGTGCGGGGGCCGAGCAGATGCAATGTGGGCTGGAGAGATTACAAGTGTGTGAATGCTCTCGTCTTGGCAACATGCCATTGAGGTTTCGTCAGTCTAAAATGTCCCTGGGTGCTTGCGGCATCACACCTGGCATCTCTTTCTTCGCGAACTTTGTTGCCACAACGAGGTTGGGGGGAAGTTGCTCCTCAAGCTCCTCCTCAGATCAAAGCTGAGGGACAAACGCAGGGCTCTTCTGAAGCTATATCAGTTGCTGAAAGGCTTATTAGATTACTTAGAACGCTCGGTCTCGTTTATGAGGGCTTCATCTCGCGCTAGATGCATTTGGATGATTGCTCGCGTGTAGCATCAGGAAACAGAACCGGCGAACTTACCTGGATGCATCTGCCAGTCCATCAATGTGAACAATGTAAAAACTGCTGGCCTCATCAACTTCCTCAACCTCTGCCAAGTCTTCAGCATCTTCGTCATCCTCCCACTCATCCACTTCACCATCCTCGTTTCTCCTTGGAGCTGAAGCAGGTTTGGAGCTTCTGGCTCTCTTTGCTGCGCAAGCGTTCGCAAGACAGCAGACGCGAAGCCGTTCCAAACAAGGCTTTACAGAAGATAGAATCAGAAGCATGAGCGAGAGCACGTACTGAACACGGTTGCAGTAATCTAACTCAGCGTACAACAGCCCGGGTCCAGCGTAGAGCCAGGCAGCTGGATCGGATCAGCAAGCACCTCCCAAAATTTTCTCATTGCATGACCTCACCGGGACAGCCAGGGTAGTACCTCATAAGGCTCCATGTGCCTGGTGACTGGTGGCTCCGAGAGTCCAGCGGTGTGTCGCATAGACAACCAGAAGCAAGAAAGCGGGAATGCCATGACCGATCAACGATGCGGCTTCCCAACTCCCGGCTGCAGACCGCAAAGGCATCTGGACAAAGGAAGCCTCAGCTACCACACGTCTTCAAGTCTTTGACCATGACGCATGAAATGCGCGCAAGATCGCGCTAGTGCGGCAAGGGCAATATGTGCTCCAGAAACGCCACAAAGCAGTGTGTGCCCTGACTTTTGGCGTAGGCCTCTTGCAATCTCTACACTGAAGTCAGACATATATACGACAGGCCACCTTGGGCAAAAGGATGAGCCAACAAGGACAAGACAAACTGACTCATGCCCAGCAACCCCCACAGCCAGCCCGCCAAGGGCAGACACCTGCAGGAAAAGAGACGCACTTGGGCCAGGGTGGATGCTTGGGCTGTGCCTCTTATCACAGCGATGACAGGTCTCTCAACCTTCTACAAGTTTGAACGCCAAACGTGGCTTGCCCAGGCCCAAAAGCTGCTGACTCAGGGTTGCTTTCATTCCCCATGCAATGCGGGGCGTTCAACTGATGAACTTCAGGCGCGGCAAGCTGAACCATCCACAAAGACATCGCTGCTGAGCTTAGCTGAAGTGGATCTCACAGCACCTGGCCTGGCCTGAGTGTGGAAAGTGGTGATGTACTCCCATGGCAAGGCACGAAGCAGTACCACCTTTGCAGGTTGCAGGGAGTGGTAGCAGGATGACAATAACAGATTGAACTCGCAGGCGGCATGCGCTTTGTGCCCAGGGACGCTCATCAAACCGGTCGCAACTCCCAAGGTCACATCCACAACAAGCAGCCTTGTCAGTCATGAAACTGCTGTTCTAGTTTCAGGCTGGCAGACCACTAGCAGCCATACATAGGTTACCTGTTTGTTGCAGTCCAGTTCGAGAAACAATCTGCTGCTAACGCTGCAGGAGTTGCCTTGCCTATATAGAAGGGAGGGCTCGTGATTCCAGAAATGCGCCCGAACTGATCCAAGCTTCCAAGCTCATGCCCTCCCTTGAATGTCTGTAACGAGCTCTTGAATTAATCTGCTTTGTATCTAAAAACAGTACGCAGCCTGCATCTGCATTCTCCAATGCTAGCATCTAAATCAACCCGTGCCCCATGTCCTGCCAGACAAGGCTCGTCAGCAGGTGGCAGAACCAGTGAATTCGGTCCAATACGCATATTGAGAGCGGCGCGCTCACAAGGATGACCCAAGTTGAGAGAAAGAACTTCCAGAACATGTTGGTGTCCAACCACGGCATGACCAGAATGGTCAATACTGCCTGCAGAGCACCAAATGTCCAGAGTGCAGTTGATCAAGCTACTCTGCCGACCTCAGAGACCTCAAGACTTCAGGTTTCGGTCTACAACTGGGGGGTGTCTACAACTTGTTGGGGCAGCGGAGGGAAGGGGAGGGCAGGGGGTGAACCGTGAACAGCTCCCTTCCTGCAGCAGGCCCTCCAATGTGTAGAAGATGCTGATGACATCCAGGCCGAGTCCCTGCTCTGCAATGAGCATCGGGAAAACGTTGAAGCCATAGAAGCAGAAGCCAAAGACCTTTCCAGACATGCGGACAGTGCTACACATGAGAATATGGTACACTGTGAAAGAAGCTCGGCGCTGCAAATGGCAACGAATCCATGCTCAAGAGGCGACGCCTGGTGCAAAGGCTAAAGTCAGTCCTCGACATTGCACTCCCCCTTTTCAGAACGTTGCCAGCAAGAATGGATATCTGACTGACGCAGAAACACTGCTGCCCTCCGTCAAATCCTTTAAACTTTAGCAGAGCCGCGTTCAAGCACTGACAGACAGCGAGGACTCGGAAACAGCCGTCAGCCCGAGGGCTCCCTGCTGGAGCCGTCTGAGAAAATCTTGTTGCCTGTGAGTCAATCAAAAGAGGATATTGCAACATGTTACCTGTTCATTTGCCATACTCGAATAACAGCACTGCAAATCAGCACATTGAGGCGGCGAACAGTAACCGCAAGCCCCTACAAAGCAACTAATACCCTGACCAAGGGCAGGCCAAGATAAGTGCACTTGCGATGCTTGCGGGTGGTGGCTTCCTGCGCGTACTACCCGCCTAGGTCAGCGGACCTGTACTATTCACACAAGTTACAGCTTACTACTACTTTCGCCTTTCTTGGTCTGGTTGGTGTCACAACATTCCTCCAAGTGGCACGGGAAGCGCGGAGCACAGCCTCTAGGCCACCAATGTTGGTCAGCTCGCGAGCAAGAATCCTATGCGTTGAGAACAATGAAAGTGAGAGAAGGTTCAGCGTAGCAGGTTATTTTACAAGTGCACATTGGGAAGGACAGCATGTTCAGCCATGCAAGACCCTGTGCCACTACCAGATTGAAGGCCAAGAGCGCCTGCCCAGCATTTTGCCGGAGCGCTGGGTTAACACCATGGTGGACGTCTTAGGCAGCTTGATCCCTCTCTGACGAGTACTGCTGCCAAGCTTCGGGGTGAAAGGAGTGAAGTTCGTCGCACGCTGCAAAACAGTTTTCCGATCGGCAAAAGTCCTTGGCAACAGTTTTTGAAGTTGATCACACCAGCATCCCGAGCCATCGAAGGCTGAGCACGCATACACTATACACCTTAGGCACGACCTCCGGCTACAACTCAACGTGACCTCTGAGGCTGAAGCGAACTATTTTCTGAAGCCCTCTCACTGCAACCGCTGTCAAGCTTCATGACCAACAATTTACAATTTCCCGCTCGAAGTGGTGTGCGGAATGCAGCCGAAGAGCTCGCGCATCCGAGCCATCGTGCTTCGGCGGGTAGTTCGCAAGGCACTCTTCCTCGGCGAATGTTGAGTGCTGAAGAGTTAAAATTGAAGTACATGATTGCTCAGAACATGCCGCCACCATGCCGCCGCCGCCGCTGCTACTGCTGCTGAGCTGGGTTGGGGCAGTGACGCAACTCTCATCAAACTTGTCGTGAAAAGCTCAAAGTCAGCTGCGAGTCATGGCAATCAGTTGGTTTCAGATAACCTGCTCGTTCTTACCAGCTGCCCCCGGAAAGCCACCGCGTTCCAAAACTTCAGCAACCAGGTCACTTGCCGGTCCGTCCTCGACGCAAGTTGCAGGTCTTGCCCCTGCCAAACTGTGCAGTCATGGTCGATTCCTGAGCAAAATCAGGGTTGTCTCGAGGGCTCTGGACTCCTTCAACTGTATGCGCCACATCAAACGGCTTTTCCTTTGGATCTTACAACTCGCACTCGAACAGTTCCTGGCTCGAAAGAAGCCTGGAGTCCAGCTTGCCAGTTGCCACGTTCTGCTCTGCAGCTTTACTTGAGGTACGCGGAGTGCTGTCTTCCACCTTTGGGCTGCAAAGTTCCAGCACAGCACCTAGGGTTCTAACAATGCTCCAGGACCGTGCCGCCTAAACTTAGCGTCTTCCACAGGCTCCAATACAACCAGGATTCTTGCGAGCTTTGATGGCTACAAGTTCCCGACTTGCTAGCTCCAGCATCAATGCTTTCCGAAAATGAGCCATCGTTCTCCAGGCCCACCCCCGGCCCCAGCCTCCGGCATCACAACGGAAAAGGCGACCTTTGCACCAGCTCTTGGACTGGGCAATGGCTCATCCTCCGGCTCTCTCTTGATATCCTTAGCAAGGGTCAGCACTGACCTCAACCTCATCTTTTCGTAAAGCTGGGCAAGATCTTCAAGATCACACACCACTGCTACCCAGCAGATCCCAGCAGCTGGAGCGGCTGGAGCTGGCTCACGCGACTTGCGTGCCCTTGGGCTGATGGCGGCTTGGACACTGGCGCGCTCGTCCTCAAAGCCGTGGTTTCTTAAACAAAGCTTTGCCACTGCTACGCTGCTACGTGCATCCAATTTCTTCAAAGACTACTTGTCGCTTCGGGCATGGTTCATTGGACGATCTGGTCACCTTTGTGCTTCTTATCATGGTGGTGACACCAGTCCGACGCACCCGGTAAGCGTGCAGATGGTAAGTCTGAAACCGCATTCAAGCCCTGCCCTGTTCGGTGTGGAAAGCATTGCAACAAATTCTCCCCCTCCCAACATAAGCCTATGGTGTCGTGGCATCTCTTGCGTTTGTCCTTCACCCCTTCCCTTATTCCCTCCTGCTTCCTGTTTCCAGCTACCAGCAATAGATATTTGTTGCACGGCCTTTGGAGAGTTGACCTCACTTTGCACGAAGCTCTTTTCCTTGTTGATTGCGATTGCAGCACTTGATTTTCAACCCCAAAATACTGAGCATTTGTCAATCCAGCCGCAACGGTGTTCAAGTCGTCACCTGCTTCAGGTGAGTTACTACGGGCCACATAAGGGTGTGCCACACCTCTTGCCTTGGCAAGTCTGAAGGATGCCATTGCTTTATCATGTGCTTCCCACCTCATCCCCCAGCCTGCCATCTCGAAATTTAACCTCCTCCAGTCTCCAGCCTTCCAATGCTCAACAATTTTTTGCCGACTGGCCGGCTGTGTGCTTCGCTTACTTTTCCTTTTGTCCCTGTCATCCTCCCCAATCTCTAACTCTTGCGTCCTCCCATCCACCTGTTTCCAGCTTCCCCGTCACTTCTGATAATTTGTAGTTGCTTTGCTTCAGCATTTGTTAGATGGATGGACCAGGCTCTCGGGAAGCTGCCGCTCCAGGTTGGAGGGCAGGGAACACGCCAAGGTGAGAGAAGAGGTACAAACACTGATTGCCGTGGAAGATCGCGTTCCAACAAGGTCGAGGCAGGAACCCAAAAACCAAGCAAATGACTGGATTCAGGAACATCTTCTCTTGTTTGTTTCAAAAGGCCCAAACATTTGCGCAAACATCGTGCTCGCACATGGGCAGCCACCAAATGCTTCGTGCGAGCTGCAGCGAATTGAGTGCTTTCTGATATGGTGGTGTCCAGTCCATGCTTTGCAGTATCCCGAGCCACCCAGATCACGGCCTTCGAACCGCTCTGACGTGGTGGCCAGTGGCGCTCGTCTGTTCCATAAATCGATGTCCCGCAGCAGTTTCCCTCCCATTCAGGCTCAGTGATCCAACTACTGCAGCAAGTGTGGATCACACAAGGCGCTTCTCAAGCTAATCTCTCTAAAAGCTCCACTCTAAGCTGCTCCAATTAGGAGAGGCAGTCAAAGCGCCATCAGGGCGGTACACACGCGTTGGGTTCAGTTGCAACCAAAAGAAACTCAACAAATGCATACGAACAATTCCCAGGTCAAGTGCTCTTGTGTCTCTGAACTTAACCGCTACCACAAGTTTCCTCACTCAAGACTCAAACTGAATATTTACAAGAATGCGCCGGCTGAGAGGGGCGTTTAGGGGCTGGCCAGCTCAACCTCAAGATGATTCGAGGTCCCTCTATAAACAACGTGATTTTGAGGCAGCAAGAAGGTGTGGACCATGATGCTTGATGAAGCTAAGGGATTGAAAAAAATCGAAACTCCATGTTGCTCTTGACACTTGAGCATGAACACAAGAACAAGCGAACGGGTGCATGGAAAGAGCCGGCGAACTTTGGCCAATACTTCAGCTAGCTGTAGCCTGGGCATCAGTGAGCCTTTCGGCACACACAGATATCGTATACGCACAAGGTGTCAGATACTAGCCTTGCGGCGTCAGTGAGGTTAAAAGAGGTCAGCGAAGACACGGGATAGTTTACCAACACATCCGCGTGGATGGTAATGATGGTCATCCTGCTGAACAGTGCGACCATAAGATGAGGAAGGCCGCCAAAGCATGTGCAGGAACCCTGTGATGGCCAGAACAAACATCTTGAAGCGGCAAACCTACAGTGCCTCTCCTCTGAGGTGGACATTGAGGTCTTGCCTTCCATTTCCTTCTGCGCGCGCCTCCAAGAAGGAACTCTCAAAGGGCTGCTACCCTCTACCAACCGTTTCAGCTAAGGGCACTGTGACTGTCCCATAACACGGGCATGCTTCTGCAAATAAACTTATCAGATCGGTCTACGCAATTATTTAGTCATATTGTCCTGCCAAAGCAAGCATGCCTTTGATTGCTTTCTGGAGAGCAGGGTGGTCCCAGTATGTAAGACAACGGGAATCATATCAATTACTATATTGCGGAAATGGGGTAATGATTCAGCAGGCAGTAAGGGAGTAAGCGATCCCCGCTATGTCAGCAGATTGCTATTCCGTTACCCGCCAAGTAAGAATTGAAGCTTGCTGGAAACTCTCTTTCCACGGCCTCATCCTCGCCGCACCTTGGCGGCACGAATGGATTGCAGGCTTTCAGGGATTTGGCCTCACTTTGCCAGTTTAGGCACTTTCCACTTGTGCTGCTTGTTTGCTTGGGTCCTCCTGACGGGCTGACTGGAAAGTTTACACTCCTCGTGTACTGCAGGACCATCGTGCTAGAGATAGTAGAACAGCAAGCGAAAGCAAGTAAGCTTGCCGCATGCCACGAACCGCGTCAAACCAATGGACATCGCGATTCCTACCCTGCTCTTCCAAAGCCTGTGCCCACGTACATCACCCAGCCCAGGAGAAAAGAAAGAAAACAAACTCTGGCAATGGCACTCC